ATATATATATATATATATATATATATTAACTATACATTATATATATTTATGTTACATATATTAACTATATATATATATATATATATATATATATATATATATATATATATATATATATATATATATATATATATATAAATATATATATATTAACTATACATTATATATATTTATGTTACATATATTAACTATATATATATATATATATATATATATATATATATATATATATATATATATACATATATCTCTTTATAATAATACTGGACTTAATAGTAGTAGTAGTAGTGCGCTTTCGAGCCTGTTTGACACGATACTCTTGGCAACCATTGCATCCGAGGTAGTGACGAGAAAGAGTCTTACCTTTGCTTTATAAGAAAACGCGAGCAAACGTGAAACTCATATTGTACGTACATAAACTTCATGTTAAGTAATGTTAAAACATGCTTAAACATCTATCAAGTTCAACAGTTTGATTTTCACTTAAGAACTGCATTTCGTCAACCTTTGCTTAATTTCTAATCTTTTGTGTTTTTATCCGTTAAAAAACAATTTTTATATAATTTAAAATCTTAAAGACACTACGTGATAGCGTAGTAGAGTGGTTAGTGTGCTGAGCCTCTGACCATGTCATCCGTGGTTCAAGTCCTACCATCGGCGATTTTATTTTTTATTTTTTTTTGCGCATGTGTCATTATTGAGATACTTATGTTATTTTAGTTAAACTTTTCAAGTTTATTTACAACTAAATTGAGCAAATTCAGCAAGGAAAATTAGTAAAAAACATGTTTATATATAGAATATAAAATCTATATAACTTTTGATTTGCATTTTAAACAACAAAACCGCGTGCCAAGCTGATGAACTTGCCACGCGGCGACCATAACTTTTTTTAAAAATGGTAAGGGGGCTTAAAAAGTATATTTTTATTTAGAACATAATTAAAGATTTTAATTTTATATGTACACTAAATTATTTTATAAAATTTATTGTTTCTAAAAATAATAAAAAGTTATACTATTTAATATTAGCATAATGCCGATTTCGAAACTTTTGCATCTTTAATCTTTTACCCGTTAAAAACAATTTTTATATAATTTTGAAGTCCTCGATGCGTCAGCGTAGTCGAGTGGAAAGCGCGCTGGGCTTTTGGAACAAAGCAACCAAGGTTTGAGTCCTACCGCTGACGACTACTATTTTAATTTTTTTTTAGATTTTTTTAAATTCAAAATCAAATACTTATAAAGTTTTATAGATATTGTATATAGACAACATATGTAAAGATATTAATCAAAAGTTTGATCCTCGCATTTTGACACAGAACCAACTTCGCTAACGAGAGAAAAAAAATCGTTCACAAATTTCAAAAATTTGTTTTTTCGTTGCAAGAAGTGACTCGCAAATGCCATTTATGTTAAAGTTAGTGTTTACGCAATCAATAAGTTTAATCTTCGTATCTAGGACATTAAAAGTTATCATTTAGATGTTTTCATTTGATTGAGATTTTCTTGCGTTATAAACCGGATAATAGTTCTTATGAACTGTAACCACGCGGATAAAGTGTGCATCAATATCCTAAAGACCCGTATTTTACGGGTCATGACAGCTCGTATATATATATATATATATATATATATATATATATATATATATATATATATATATATATATATATATATATATATATATATATATATATGTATATATTAACTTTTCATTATATATATTTATGTTACATATATTAACTATAATATTTCGGCAAGAAGAAAAAGGAATGATGATTTTTTATGGCAGAGCCGTGGTAAAGAGGTGTTGCATGAAAAAGGGGTTGAAAAATGTTTTTTTTTTACTAAATAACGGCCAAAATAAAGCCCTCTCTTTCTTGACATTTACCGACGAAGGGCGCAAACTGCTGACACTTTTCGACTGTTTCTTAGTTGGGGCGATCCTTAGTACAGCCCGGTGCTTCGGTAAAGTTATGAAATTACTTTTAATAAAACTTCATTTAATTTCCATTTTAATTACACCCTACACAAAATCTTTTTCTTCTTTTCTTCCATTAATAAACGACAAAAAATATATGTAAATAAAAAAAAAGAAAAAACCCTAATGTGTGGATTCACTAAACTTTTGCAACTTACGGGTTAACTAAAATTGCGTTAACCATACGTTCATTTTTTCACTAAGGGATCGTCCATAAATTACGTAACGCAAACTTTCAAAATAAACAAAACAAAAAGATCAAAAGTACCTATATTCTACAATAATCACTTACATTTACGGTTTATTTTTTTATTTATAAATCATTTCTCAAGTTAAAACAAATAATATGCACGAAATTCTTCTAAAATCTCAATATTTGTTATACTTAAGATTTTTTGTTACTACTTATTTTATTAAGAACCTTTTTAGATATTTTTTAGAGCTACTTTTGATCAAAAGAAATCAAAAAAGAATCAAAAAGTCAGTCAAAAATAGAATATATAGAAAAACGAAGAAACAATAATCAAATTTTATTATAATTTTCTAAGCACAATTAAAAGTAAAGGACGTTGACAAAAACTTGATTTTATAAAATTATCAATATATGATGTTTGATTAAATAACGATGAATTTAAACATAAAAATCATAACTAGCAACTCAAGTTATTGACAAACAATTTAATTTACGTCATTTGTTTATACAACATTTTTTTAGATATCAAAAGAAATTGACTGAAATAAAACCTTTCATTGTCATTATTATAAAATCTTTCCTTGTCATTATTTTAAAACGAATAAAAAACAATTATAAAACTTAAACTGTATGCAACTTTATTCTACTAAAAATGTTTTTACGTTGCTTGTATAATTGAACTTCAAAAAGATTTAAAAAAAATCATTATCCATTAAAAATGTCTACTAAAAACGTTTATCACAATATTTTAATAAAATAAATGCAAGAAAATTACAAGTAAAATGTTACTCTAAAAGGAGGGGTAACAGACAAAATATGAAACTTGCGACATTGTAATGCAAGAAATGATTAAATAAATAATTCATAGTAAAATTACCATCTTATACCATAAGAAAAGTAAATTTTTGCTGACTGATTGTCTGCCTCACTTTATTCCATAAATATACGATATATCGAAATAAGCAACCACAGCTTTATATGCTATTAGCATATGCCATATATAATGTGTACAGATCTAAAATAAATTGTTTCATTTGATATAAAGATCAATATTTTTTTTTTCTATTACTCACCTCTGGGGTGAATAATAGAAAGAAATTTTTTTTTTAAATTTTGATTACAACTCTTTCTCAACTTTTAAACTTTAAAATACGAAACCTTGACAAACAAGGCTGATGCGTGTGGAAAATAAGTTCTTAAAATAACATTATTAATAAATTAGTAAAGAACATTTATCATACCTTCTAATTTGACTGACTTCGACTGTTATTGTACTGTGTGAAATATGGCATTTGCAAGTAGCATGTTGGTACAGAGCTTTCTGAATGACTAATTCAGTATTCCATTAATGGAATGAACTGAAACAGACAATCAGTCAGCATACAATTCTTTATTCTATATATTCTATACTATAACGTAAACTGTTAAATTATTTAACTATTACTTGCAAAAATTTGATTTGATTTTAACAATGTTTTTTAATAAAATATATAAAAATATATTTTTTTATGATGTGAAAAATAGTTAGATTTTCACGATGTAAAAGATAGATTTTCAAAATTATGTTCTAAAATAGCTATTCTCTAGTGCATTCTGATACAATTATTCTTTTTTCAAATAAATTATTTTTCCGCTCATTCCAAATATGAATAAAAAACTGTAGATAAAAACAAAAATGTGTTTGTGTCATTAATTTAGCAGAATATTTTATATTTTGCAAAAAGCTATTAAACTGTTCGCAGATAGATGAATTGATTGGATAAAAATTCCCCAAACGATTACACCGAAAAACATCAGCACATTTATGTGTGTAGCCATGAAATACCTCATGAAAAAAGGAGGTATTTTTAAAATAACCAGATTCACGGTTGTGACAAAACTCTGACAAGCTGCAAGCAAAGTCATACACAATATTTTCTGGAGCAACTTCAAGATGTGTATACAACGAGGCATGTGGATCTTTTCTTCCCTCAGACCCTGGGATAATATGGAACCCGTAACAATGGCGATGTATAGGGCAAAACCATAAAAAAAGAAAAGATACACCTTTTTTAGATACTTGAGGAAACAATTTATTGCAGATTTCTGATGGAACATCATCAAACATGTTATTACTGGAACTTTTATCTGCAGAAAACACTCGCAATTTTCTTATTTGACACCCATGCTTTTCAAAATAATATGTTCTACCATATCGCGATGGATTATAAGTGCCTTCAATGACTTCGGCGTTATTTGGTTCAACATCACTAATATGAATTTTTTTCACAAAGTTACAGCAGTATTGTATTAGTAGCAAAATATCTCCAGAAGGTGAATTGTTGTAGTTAGAGGATATTTCAACTAATCTAGCTAGCTCAGGAGAGAAGCAACGCAATAAATAACAAAATTTAACAACAAGTTCACAATCACCTAGACTAGATAAAAATTGTTCACATATGCAAGCAACTTCATTAGTGAACCGTAATGGAACTAATGAATCAAGGGAGCTATCAGCAGCTAGTATTTTAAAATCTTTGGCATAGGAGCATCGCAAAACATTTGGGACAGGTGATTCAGAAATCATTAGCTGAAATGATGGTACACATTCAGCTGGAATATAACTCACAAGAACCGAATTCAACTTTAATGTATCAGCATCAAAGTTTAAGTAATTAGAGTTTTCAACAGATAGAATATATAGACAAATCTTTCTTAAATGAGCTCTAGCCTCGGAAAACTGTTTAGCATTTAATTGTTCGAACAATTTCATAAAGTTCAGCTGACTCTATAGGTTTTACAAAAGAATTTTTAAAGCTAATTCCTATTTTTGTCGCATCGCAAGCTAAAACTGATTTTCTGGACACATATGACATTTTTCTCTAAAATCAATGTGCATGTGGGAGGCCCAAGCAAAAAACCAATCAATAAATGTTTGTGTAGACATAAATGGCAAATAAGAGGTACTTCTACGTTTGTACTTGTTTGAATACAAATTGACAAAACCGCTGAATGTTCCTTTAGACAAAACAAAATCAACAAATTCCCAACCTGCAAGAAATTCAAAATTAAAAAATTAACTCAGTTTTTGAGCAAATGAACAGAACAACTTTTTTCGGTTTTACCTAGTTCATAACCAGCACAAGTGGATTTAGATAAGCAAAAAACAGAGTCTTCACAGCCATCCCAATAACTAATGCAAGTATTGGATAAACATTTTCTCAAAAAAACATCACACTCAATTACTTCACGATCTGTGTACATATTGATTTTATGGTAAAATTCTGTATAACCAGATAAAACAGATTCCGATACCCAACCAGCCTGTGAAAAAAAAATTTTTAAATCATTGTCAAGCATTAAATCATCATTAATCATGGAAAAATTGAAGCAATTTTTGCAGTAGAATGAATAATTCAAATACTGAAGCAATACAAATGGATGTCCATTCTGGCATTAGTATATTTTGCAAGTAATCAAATATTTAAGTTTGATTATTTAAGAAATTGAAAAAATAACAATAGTTTTATAAATAAAGTTTGTATTAAAAGAAAAAAAAAAATTGTGTTAATTAAAATAAAGAATTTAAATTCTTCTTCTAATACATGTTACTTTATTAATTTGAGTCAAAGTATTCTTTTCTGTCTAATCATAAATCGTAAACTTTTATATATATTAAAAAAAGTATGTAAAATAACCAAAATAAATAAAAATCTTCTATTTTTTAAAAGCTCTCTTCCTCTATTTTACAAAAAGATAGTACAAATCTTTAGTTTAACTAAATTTAAAATAAACTAAGTTTAGCTAAATTTAAAATAAAGTTATGATATATTGTTACAATATTAACAAATTAATAAATATAACTTTAAAAATTACCAGAAAAAGCTCTTGATCTAACAGTTCATATCTTTTTTTTAAAAAAAATAATCATTGTGCAATCCTTTTAGACTTTTCAACTCTCTATAAAACCATTCATTGTTGTCTTTACTCTTGATATGTACTTACATCATTTTTTTTGGTGAAATGACAAGGTACTTATATTGTTGAATTTGAAGTAGTTCCACATGTTGGTCAAATTGTCATTTATATCGTAGTGTATGTTAGTGTTATTGAATGCGTTGGATGAGTAACACATATATGTGTACACACAAATATATATAAATACAAGCATACATACGTAAACCTAAATACTTTTATGTATTTTGATTTTTATTTCTAATTACTTTAGATAATTAACTGTGCATAATTTGTTTAAAAATTGCTGTTGTTTGGTTCTAATTGTTATATATATATATATATGTATATATATATATATATATATATATATATATATATATATATATATATATATATATATTCAGTAACTTTTGTTGATTTTGTTACCTGAAATAGAATTGATGTGAAGTATAAAAACGATAACGAAAAAGGAAATGCTAATTACAGGGTATACTGATTGATTTAAATTACTTAAAACTAACATTTTAGCATCCATGCAGGCAAAGTTCTATTCTGAGTAGAAACAGTATTTCAGGAGCTAGGTACTTGACTCAAGTCAAATAGTAAATGTGCTTTGATTTCCCATAGCACATTTCAACCGAGTGAACCCTGGTTGTTGGATGTTAGTAACTACCAGACTATTTGAATATACCACAATTATTATTTGGTAAATTTTTTTACTTGTAAAAACATTTCATTAAATTGAATCAACTATTTTTAACTTAAAAAAAAATGTTCTTAGACCACAGTCACAGTTGTCTAGATCAACAGAAGGCATAAAACAATATCCATTGGTAGCAGACTGTCTTTTTACAATGTCATTGCTAAATTTTTCATTAAATTGGTCATTGGAAACAGTTTTTTTACTTGGGGCATTAATTCCAAATGTCCACAAACCAGATGCTACATCAAAAACATCTTCCCACTAATAAAAACAAGAATTTACACAACAAATTTACGCTAAAGCCAAAAATAAATAAAAAATTTAAACAAATAAAAACCTTTTCCCTTGGTAGATTATCCTCTAACACAGAATCAAAAGAGATCACTTTATCATTGTCATTACAAAATGATTCTACTGTGTTTTCAACAAGATAAAAATATTCTCTTATTATTAATTTGACGAGTACTTCCTTCAGATATTTGACATAATGAATCATGACATTTTATTACTTTGCTAGATGATTTTGAAATTTCAAAAACTGTAACAAAAGAACATGAATCAGCAACTACCGAATATCTTTCAACTCCCGATTTTGAAGTTAACTTTAAAACATTTGATTTGAGATAGATTAAACTATCCATAAGTTTTTTTTTGTTTAATAAACTATTTTCTGGGATGAAATCAGGTTTATCAAGCATTTGCATTAGCTGGTTTAACAGACGACAATGACAACAATTATTTACATTTGTCAAATTTTCTGATTGAAAAAAAACACATGATGAGAATGTTTTACAGGAGCAGTTGTATATTGTAGTAGAACACATTGTTTCAGCTTTTACATGAACAAATTCTTTATCCTTATTTAGAAATAAATTTTTTAAATTGTTATAACATTAAACATATTACTTATATATTACAATTACATATTACTACTATATTTATATACTGTTTATAAATCTATTTGCATAAAAAAACAAAATTTAAACCTACTTGAAAGTTCCCGTTCTCGTGATTGTAATTGTTCATAACACATATACTAAGAGACGGTTTTCGAACACGCCAACAAAGAACGCCATGACTAAAAAGTTCAGCACAAAAGTATTCATAGAGACTGTTTCTTTTACTTAAATGCTGAACCAAGTTAACCTGAAACAAAAATTGTTGTTTTCTGCAAATTATTTGGAATAAAATATTTAAAAAAATATAAAAAGTAAAGAAAAAAGTAGATTTAAAATAAACTTTTAACGTATCTTTTTTTGATTCTATTTAATTGCTATTCAAATTACCTCATTAATAGAATCTGTGATGCCAATATTGTTTGCAACCACTTTTTTTCCACAATGCAAATCATTATATTGAAACTCCTACAACAAATCGATAAAGAAATTAACAAATAATAAAAATTATAATAAACCTATTTTCTTAAATACTAACTTGGTCAAGAAAACTTTCTTTAGATATCCTACTCTTTTTTGCTTTTGACACTATTAGAGATAAGTTTTCTTTTCTAAATGGATATACAACTGTCTCTTTAACACCAAAAACATTTCTTAAAATGGATACAATAATGTTATCAGAGGTAACTCGATAAAAAGAGGCTTGAAGAATTCTGTTTCTGGGTGAACCAGGAAAATATCTGCATGAATTAGAAAACTTCTGTTCATATTTTACACCTTTAACAAGTTTATCCCACATCCATTTATGATGGTGAGAAAGATCTGACAGAATTCTGAATTGGTCTTCTATTGATGGGTTTTCTATTAAAGAAGTCCAAAGTTTTCCATACCTTGAAGCTCCCTGGGGTTTACTTCGGTGAAGCATAAGCGAAGTCTCCCATTCTTCTGCTTTTTCTGAAGGTTGGCAAATGAAATACCTAATAAAATTAGTTGATAGATAAATGAACCAATCAATTCAGAAAAGTTTGTAGATAAAGAAAATCATTAATGTTAAATATTATTTCTTATGTAAAGTTTGAATTATAGATGTTGAGAGTTTAAGTAAGTATTAAGCATAGATCTTAAGCCTTACTTAGTCTTGTTAGGAAATATACTATTAAATATTATATACTATAATTATGTATTGCTGCATATATTTAATGTAATTATATCAAATTAAACAAAAATCCAGTATCATACTTTTTGTTTCCTTGATTAACACCCTCCCACAATTGGTCTTTTAGAAGACACGCAGCAGTTAGATGGTAGCAAACGCAAAAATTGTTTTTATCAAGCTCAATTATTAGTTTTTTCAAACTCTCATTTAGACCACCTTTGCACTCATATATCAAACGATTAAAAGTTCTGCTTTTGTGAATACGACTTTTGCTACCTATAAAAAAACCTAACAAAACATTGTCTTTTTAATTTTAAGTAAATACAAAAACTAGGTTTTTAGATAAATTATGTGTGTGTATATATATAGACACACACGCACACACACGCACACACATACACACACACTCACACACACACACACACATATATATATATATATATATATATATATATATATATATACATATACATATACATATATAATTATTGTGTATTAATTTTTTTCTAAGGCTAAAAGAAATTTGCATTCTGACAAATAATCCGTAAGGGATCGTCCATAAATTATGTAACGCAAACTTTCACAATGAACAAAACAAAAAAGATCAAAAGTTTTCCCTCGCAGAGTCTTAATTTAAATAAAATCAAAATACCCCAATAAGTTAAATGAAAATTGTAAAAGAGCTTAATATCTACTACTTTTGTTATTTAAATATATTTTGCGTTGCATAATTTATGGACAATCCTTAATCAAATACCACTCTTACTCCTGTGTCCAAAAGTTTCTTTTTTTAATGCAAGCTCCATATAACATCCTTTATTGTAAATACACAATTTGGAAGAATTTCATCAACCATTAAATCTTTTTTCAGCTTTCATTGTGCAATATTATCAAAGTATGCAGTAAAACTGCCAAACTCAAAATATCTAATGATCAAAAAAATTGAAAAAAGTATAAAACAATGTGAGATTGAAAAAGAAAATTGAAAATTAGAACAAAGAGCTAGAAAATTAAAAAAGTAAAAAGAGCCAGCAATAAACATTTTCTAAAAAATTTTTTTTGAAATGAATCTACAGAAAAAATGTTCTAAAGTGACCATTGTTTAGGAGAAAAAGAATGCTGTGTTTTTCAAGGAAAAGAAAATACTTGCCGAAAGTAAATTCAAAAAAATACCTAGCCAAATAAGTTTCTTTTCCTAAAGCATTAACTTTATTTAAAAGGCAGTAGAAAACTCCATCGACATTGCCATGACTACCAAGTGATAGTAAAGATTCTTCTACCTGAAGAATCGGAGGAACCATAATGATATTGTGTACCAAAGCATTTTGAACTGCAATGCTGCTACCACATTTACTTAAATTCTTCATTGCTATCATTACTAAATAAAACCTTCAAATCCAGTTTTGTTTTATAATTAAGAATACATTTAGGAGACGTTAGCACAAAAAGTTGTTTTTACAACCACCCAAATATATATATATATATATATATATATATATATATATATATATATATATATATATATATATATTTATATATATATATATATATATATATATATATATATATATATATATATATATATATATATATATATATATATATATATATATATATATTAGGGTGTGACATCCACATTCATACCGTGACATACTTTTGAAAAACTTTTTTTATATAATATTAGGCACCTGGTAAGTGTTTAAGGATCTGGTGCTCCCCCTAAATCCAATTAAATTTTGAACAAGTTTAACAAAGTTGCTTATCAGAACCAATAAAAAATTTTAAGAATATGAAAAGATATTTTTTAGAAAATAGGTGGCCCATGTTACGCCCTAATATATCAACCCTCGGCATTAGGAAAAATGATGTTGCCTATTAACTACCAGGGACAGGTTAGGGATTGAACTTGGAACTTTTTGCTTATGAAACGAGCGCTCTACCACTATACCACTACCGCATATATATATATATATATATATATATATATATATATATATATATATATATATATATATATATATATATATATATATATATATATATATATATATGTATATATATATATATATATATATATATATATATATATATATATATATATATATATATATATATATATATATATATATATATATATATATATATATATATATATATATATATATGTATATATATATATATATATATATATATATATATATATATATATATATATATATATCACTTATTGCGTAAACTTTACTATATAATTTTTTGTTTTTCTGGTTTGTAAATAATAAAGTAAATACAAAGGTGGTAAAGTAGTCCGAAATCAAGGTGTCTGTTATTAGAAAATTAGAAAATTAACACATAAAATACACGAATTTTAAGGAGCTAACATTAAATGATAATAATTATATTGTAATTAATAACAACTATATAATATCTTCTTGAATTATTATATGATATCAATAATAATGAATAATAATGAAATAACTAAATAATAAATGTATTATTAATAAATTTTATCAACATGATTAAAAAATAATACCACATGATCAATTATAGTCTGGCTTATTATACTACTATTATCTTGAACGGCAAATATATTAATTGGATTATTGAGATCCATTGTTAAGGATATGAATTGTTTGTAGAAAATAATTAAAGATCTTTTTAGTGTCAAACTAAAAAAAAAAAGCAAAAAAATTATATATAGAATCAGTATAAATTATTAAAACAATTTTAAAAATCTTTTTTTAAAAACTAAATACATTATATTAGTTGATATTATTAAAATATCAAAAATTACAATTATAATTTCACAGGTATTATGAGAACTTGAGTTAATTTTGTGATATAATGTTAGGAAATTTGATATTATTAAAATATCAAAAATTACAATTATAATTTCATAGGTATTATGAAAACTTGAGTTAATTTTGTGATATAATGTTAGGAAAACTTATAAAAATTGTTAATCTATGTAATTATAACTGATTTTCACTATCCTAACAATATCAACTATTATCAATATATTTAAATATTTAAATATTTGTATATTTAAACTATTATCAATATATTTAAATATTTATAATAGCAATAAAGTTAATTGTAATAATGAACATACAAGTATTTAAACATATTAAAAATAGTTGACATTGTTAGGATACCAAAAATATACTAAAACTTTATAGGTTTACAATGTTATACATTACACCTGCACAACAACCAGTACGCCTTGCATGCAAGAGCCTCTACTTACTTTTCTGTATTTTTTAAAACCAACCAGTACCTCTTCAAGAGGCACAGAGTAGTTTGGAAAAGTAATGCGGAAAGTACGATATCATTAATTTTCGAATATCAAATGTCTAAAAAAACAAACAATACTTTACTTGTAATGCTGATCAAAAGTATATCTTCTATACAAAAGGCTATATACAATAGATTTTACCAGAATTAGAAAAATAAATATTAGGTAAATTACATTACATTTAAGAATCTTTGTCGACAACTCGCATGATATCTCGCAAAACGAATTTCTTACGTAATTTCATTACCTTAAATGGATGATCTCATCTCGGAACATGAACACTCTCTGATATTGAGAACTAGCAGTAAGCAACCCGTAATACGGGTTGTTAGTAAACAAACAAACAAAAAAAAACGCGTATAGAAAAGCCTAGAAACTACTTAAGAATATATTAAGTTATATATTTTGATATTTATTATATATCAAGCAAGGCTGTTTCACACAATATAAAAGCGAGCTTGACGTCACAAGAATTTTTGTGTTCAAAAAAAAAAAAGAATTTCCGCATTAAAAGTATAAAATTCACTAACTTTAAATTAATAGTATTTTTTTTTCCATAAACGCTATAATCTTCGAGTAAAAAAATATAAAAGAACTATCTTTCTTCGCTAAATGAATATTTACATGAAACGAAATAAAAATAAACATTGTTAAAATATTTGATATGATTTTGAATTACTTTCTGTTTTTTGCGTATTTTACGGAAAACCTGGCTTGGGCCAATAAAGATTTGATATTTTAAGCTACATCCTTGGTGATTGAAATTTTACATTCTTATAAACGAATGTCTATTTTATCAGATTTTGGAGGGCATAGATAAAAAAAATAGTTAAAGTTAGTTTTTTTTAGCATTATTCTTTTTGTATTTACTTGTTTTATATGAAAAATGTTCAATTTTTGTTATGCCCTCCAAATTATTGAAATTTCAACCCTTTATGCATATGAAAAGCAAAATAATTATTTTCTATACTTGTAACTAAAACGTTTTCCACCTTGCCAAATTTTGTTGCTTTTAGCAACAAAATTTGTAGTTGTATGCGTAAAATTTTTGTTTATGTTTTAAAGCCATGACGTAACTTTAAATGCGTTACTTCCCAATTCACTATGTAATTAAATTTATTAAAACAGCTTTTTTAGCAAGAAATATTTTAGTGAAAAATAAAGCAAACTTTGGCGGGTTTTTTCTCTCGTAGCTTATCTACAAACATCAGATAAGTTGTTTAATCATCTGATATCTATTGCATACTTGTTATTTGTCAATAATTATTATTTTTGATTTTATTTGTTTGTATTATATTTTTATTGAAAAGTTTATTTATCACTATGGATTCTAGTGAAAGGGAGAAATAAATACTATACATTGGATGGGAAAATGGCTGGGAAAATGAATGCAACTTTTCTTTTATTAGGCGATTAATGAACACTGATAAAATCACTAACAACGTGATTTTAATTTTACTTAAAGTCTTTCCATCTAAAACATTGTTTAATTTTATAAATTTTATTATGCCAAAATATAAGAGGAAACATTTTTTGAATGCTTTTTTTGTTGCTAGTAAGCTATCTAATCAGAGAACTTTTTTAATGATATTTTAAGGTCAGCATTGTTATTTTCGTCTCTCGTTTGGTACAATTTGCTATCGTCAGCAAACAGCTTTATTCGACTATACAACTATATATACTACTATATATATATATATATATATATTTTTATATATATGTATATATATATATATATATATATATATATATATATATATATATATATATATATATATATATGTATGTATATATATATATATATATATATATATATATATATATATATATATATATATATATATATATATATATATATATATATATATATATATATATATACGTTTAGATAGCATTTATTTTGGTCTAAACGTTTAGGAACCTATTCTAAACGTGTTCTGAATATTTAATTTGCGTTGAAATACGATTTCCGTACGAAACTAACTTAATTAAATTAGTTTCGCACTAAACGTGTCGGACATTTTGAATCTTTCATTTTGATTAAAAATTAGAATTTCTTATGAATCTTAAATTATGTAATAAATGGTTCAGAAAAGATAAAAGAAATTTGTTTTTAGTATCATATTGTGGCTAATGAAGCAGCTAATAAGTCCTGTAAGTTCTTCGATAATGTTGTAAAAGCGATTAAAAGTAATTTTAACTACAGTAACTATGTATTTTGATAATTCTTTTAGTTATTGCTACTAATATAGCAGTTTCAAAAACGTATCAGTTTCAGCATTTTTTTAAATTATTTCTAAAATTGTTTTTCTGTTTGGTTTTTAACAACGCTATAGAACGTCTATAGTTAACTCTTAGCTTCCTAATTTTTCTACTTTTACTAGAAGTAGAAAAATTATGAATAATAATTACCACTTAAAATGCATTAATTTTTTTCTAAAAGTTATAAAAAAAAAAGTTATAAAAAATTATGCGTTTTAAATGGTAACTACTTTTTAAATAACTAAGCAAAATTATTATTTTTGTTTACATTAAGACCTAACATCTATTTGTTTAAGTCATAAACAAATCAATATAACATCTTTCATAAATTATAAAAAACGTTATATTGATCAAATTGCAATGTTATAATATTTATACTTTTAGTGCAGTCAGTACCAATCAAATAATATGAGGTTCAAATATTTATATAATGGAGCTTTAGTTTAAGTGTAGGCTTTTAGTGTAAACTAAAAAATATTTTTAAAAATTTATTTACAAAATTATCAGTATTTAGTTTGGTATCCCTTTGCAGCTAGCACCTGTGCTATACAAGAAGGCATGGAACGCGCCAACTTCTGACAGTACTCCACACTAGTTTCCATTGCCGACACTTCCTTATTTATTCTTTTCAGATGTTCTTGTGACGTTGGATTGTGAGCGGCCACCTTTTTTTCATAATTACCCACAGATTTTTTATGGGGTTTAAATCAGGTGATGACCCTGGCCATGGTCCTATCACAGAAACATGATTATCCGCTAGCCACTTTGACACTGATCTTGCCTATGGCAAGGAGCACCATCACGCTGAAAGTGATCCACCTGGTGAATCTGCATAAGATTGACCAACTTCTCCTGCAGTATTTTACGGGAGGTCTCAGCATTGATTGTTTTCCCATGTGGCATGAACCACAAACCTCCTTGCCCATGTTTACCGGAAAAGGAACTCCACACCATCACCTTTGCACATTGCTTCACTGTAGCAATGCAGTATTTGGCATCGTTCCTCTTCCCATCTGGACGACGAACGTGTCGTTGGAAAGTGTAAAATTGATTGAAAGTAGACTATCCGAAAACATGACATTCTCCCAGTCATCGGATGAGAAATTGCGGTATTAACGACAAAATGCCAACCGGTCTTGTATAATTTTTCGAGACAACAGTGGCTTTTTTGCAGGTCGCCTTGACTTCAGCCCAGCAAAAAGTAGTCTCCTTCTAATCGTTCAAGTACTGACATTATCTTCAGATGGTAATAATGATTGAATCCTAGCAGAAGAAGACAAGGGAGAGAGCTTGGCACACCTTACAATTGCAGTGTCCGTGCGCATGGAAGTTACCTTTGGTCTTCCACTTCTCCTTCTTGAAAGGTAATTAGAAGTGTTAGGATCAAGGAAACGGCTAATACACTTTTAGACAGCACCACGAGACACACTTTTAGACAGCACCACGAGACACACTATATATATATATATATATATATATATATATATATATATATATATATATATATATATATATATATATATATATATTGTTGTTTTGATTATTTGATAATAATCAACTCTTTTTCGATTTGAGAGTGATCAATATAAAGTGAAATAATCACAAAATAGATCAATAAATAAATAAATAAATAAAAGGTTAGATGAGAAAAAACAACTTTTTTACGGTACTTAAAGTTTCATGCCGTTTTCGGCACTCATCAGCCATATATTTAAATCAAGAAAAAACCGTTCAAAAATACAATTAAAAAACCGTTACAAAATTCAAAAAAAACAATGGAATGAGTTCTGACGTCAAATAATTATAATACAAATACTAGCAAAAATAATAATAATTATATTAATAATATAATAATAACAATAATAATAATAATAATAATAATAATAATAATAATAATAATAATAGCAATAATATTAACAATAATAATAATATTATGGAAAAAACATATTTTTTAATCGCCAGTGTCAAATTGAGAAAGGAGGAATCTGTTTCTATGTCTGCACTTAGAAACAATCTCACTCCTTTTATTTAGTAGATTGGTATTTTTATAATTTAGGATTTCATATTTTTCGGTGAGACATAATTTACAAGATTTGGATGTAGGATTATATGCTTTACATCGCCTGAGAATTTTCCACTTAACTATAGGAACTAAATTGGCTTCTTTTATTTTCCATACCTGCTTTGACAGCTCAGTATCATTTTTGTATTTTGGGATGTTAAAAGATTTAACGTGGTTAGCGTATCTCAATTTAAAAGAAGTCTCACTTACACCGATGTAGGATTTTTCGTTAGGAGATGAATCACTAGTGGTGGTTACAGTTGCTTGGTATACAATGCTGCTTGTTAAACATCTATTGGACAACGGGCAAAATTTTTTATCTAAGCAGTTACAGTTGTATAAAATGTACTTGTTGTGCGAATTTATGATCGATTTCACACTTGGCATACAACTGTAGCTAACTTTGACTGTGTTCCTGTTAAAGATTTTATGTAGTTTGTTATTATTAGGAAAATGTTTGCCAATTAATTTCAAAAAACATTTTCCTACGTTGGTGCTAACATTTTTGCTAAATGGAGGATTAAACCAAATGATGTTGCGTGCTCTGTTCCGTTTTTTAGTTGATATTGCTTTAGGATTATATGTTAGATTACATTTAAAACCAGACTTTAATAAAGCCTCATTATATAGAGGAACAGCCTGTTGAAAATTTCTGTTAAAATTTTCTCATTACTCTTATCAACCTTCTAAA